CCAAAACAAACCGAAACGCCAATAAAAGGAGGGGCCGTTCCCAGCGCCTGCTCAAACAAAAGCCTCTCCCAGCTTTTCTTAGGTGTCTCTTAGGGAACAGCTGGCTCAAGTTCACAGATGCAGGAAATGGGATCTGGCTGGCTCCCCCCCCCAGCACAGCTTCCCTGCTGTGCACAGCTGGGTGCCAGCCACCTATCTCCCACCATCTAGCCACACTCCTGAGCATCCTGCCGCCAGTTTGGTGACTTTCCTAGGCAGTTGCCCAGCCTTTTTGTTTCAGGTGGGGTTTTGTTGGCCTGGAACTCATCTAGATCCTCCTGCCTCAGCCTCCTGAGCGCCGGGATTACAGGTGCATGCTGCCACCCCTGGAAAGGTCAAACAGTTTTAATAGGAATCTTTCATTTTCTTCTCTTCTCAATTTCCCTGACCTTTGTTGCTGCCTGCCATTTTTCTCACCCATCCATTACCAGGCTTGACTCTGCTCAGCTTCAGAGACTGGGTGACTTCAGGACGGTGATGGCTGTAGACACTGGTTGCTCATCTTCCGATATGCAAAACCGATGCTCCGCGCTGTTTAAACCCATGTAATTGCCGGGTGGTGGTGCACACCTTTAATCCCAGCACTTGGAAGGCAGAGGCAGGCTGATCTCTGTGAGTTTGAGGCCAGTCCAGTCTACAAAGCGAGTTTCAGGACAGCGAGAGCTACACAGAGAAACCCTGTCTTGAAAACAAAACAGCAACAAAACAAACCCGGGCAGTCCTGCGGTCAGTCAAACCCTTCAAGGTGCTTTCTCCACTCTAGTGTCTCCGTCCACTTCCCTTTGGTCTCTTGGGGACCCTTTCAGGCCACCCCAAGGGACTCAGAGGCATAGCATGGAACTGTCTGCTGTTCACCTTTTGGGATTGGACCTTGTGCTTCCTAGGAAGCTCTTGCCCCCCTGGGAGGTTCTTGCTCTGGTCCCTAGGGTCACCCCCCTGGCTTCTACGCTAGACACTGAGCCCCAGAGGATGCCTGGGTCCTTGCTGCCTGTGGCCGTTCCTATCTCCTCACTCCTGCACTTTTCATTTTACTCTCTGACCCCCTATCTGACGCTGTTTTGTGTCCCCATTCTGTGTCATCTTTGTCCCCTCAGGCATGCATGTGGCCCTAGCATGCGCACATTCGTGGGCGGCTGCATGAGGGTTCTGTTGGTGAGTGGCATTCTTCAAGGTTACACTGGGAAATCCCACCCCACCCCCAACCCCAGCATTCATGGGATGGCACCCTTATGTAGAAGTGTTCCTAGGAAACCAGAGGCTGTGGTTCTCTGTGGGGTTTGATCAGCAAACACGGGGCTGCGAGAAAAGGAAACTGACTTTTAAATTGAAGTCTACCAATGTATATGGTGTCTGATAGGAAAGCTTTCCAAAGGCAGGGACAATAAATAAGGAGGGTCTTGGGCTGACCGGATAGCTCAGTGGGTAAAGGCATTTGCTAAACAAGCCTGGGGGCCTGAATTTAGTCTCCAGAACCCACATAAAGGTAAAAGGAAAGATATGTCCACAGCTAGTCCTTTGACCGACATACATATACCATGGGGCATGCACCCTCCCATCATTCACACAACAATAATGAATATAGATTTTTTTTTTAATGAAGCAAAATCACCATCCGGGAGGTCACAGTGGAGCAGCCTGAGATGAACTCACTTCTCATGACAATAGGGTTGGCGCTGCATCCCAGGCTCCTCTGGGAGAGGGGTTATACTGCTCAAGCCTTTGGTCTCTAACTGTCGCTCCCCTCACCCAAGCATCAGCCCTGCTTCTTCCAAAGCTCTCAGCCATGCTCCATCAGCCAAATTGTCGAGACACAGTCTCCAGTAGCTTAGGCTGGCTCTGAGCTTGCTGTTTAGCCAGGGGTGGCCTTGGAAGTTTGGATCCTCCAGCCTCCACCTCTAGAGTGAGGCGATTAGAGGCTTGACTTAACTTGCCTGGTTAATGCAGTGTTGGGGATGTGTGCTAGGTGAGTGCTCTACCAACTGAGTGACACATCCAGCCACATTGGGTTTCTTTGGAGACAGACAGACAGATGGCTCTGAACTCCCAATTCTCCACTAGACAGACACACAGACAGACAGACACAATTTCTTTTATTATTTATTTATTTATTTGGTTTTTCAAGACAGGGTTTCTCTGTAGCTTTGGAGCCTGTCCTGGAACTAGCTCTTGTAGACCAGGCTGGCCTCGAACTCACAGAGATCCACCTGCCTCTGCCTCCTGAGTACTGGGATTAAAGGCATGCGCCACCACCACCCAGCTCACATCTTCATTCTTGTCTTTGATGTTCTCTGTCTGTCTGTCTGTCTGTCTCTCTCTCTGCCTTCTTCAAGACAGAGTTTCTCTGTATCCCTGGTTGTCCTGGTACTCACTCTGTAGACCAAGCCGACCTCGAACTCACAAAGATCCGCCTGCTTCTGCTTCCCGAGTGCTGGGATTAAAGGCGTGCACTACCACTGCCCAACCTTGATGTCCTCTCTGTGTATTGGCCAAGGGATTGGCCGGCCTCTCAGTTCTCATGAGATGATGGGCGAAATGACCCATATAGAACAGGGAGGGAAATGGGAACGGGCTTGGAAGAACTCAACATGTTATACGGGGATGCGAGTTTCTTCTGAGTTCCCCAGATGTGGATCTTGTGTGCACATAGCGCCCGGAAACAGGCCTGGCAAGATGTGCTCAGTGGTCCAAGGGCGGCAAGTCTGTTACAGGGGAACCAGCCGCTCTCTGAGGCCTGCTCCAGGGGAGGGACTCCTCACTGGTGCCATAACTGGGTCAAAGCCATGGCTAGGGATGTCAGAGGCCCTAAGTGGAGAAGCTCCCTCTGTTAATTTGCTAACATAAAAGTAATTGAAGTGTAGCAGCACAGGTTTCTAGTCCCATTCTGGGCAGATTACAGCAGTATCACAAGTCTGACATAAATAAATACAAAATGAATCTCTGAGAAGTTGTAGTGATCCCAACTGTGGATCCAAACACGGACCACATAAAGAAGGACAGGAAGTGGGGAGTGTTGCCAAAGCAAGGCCCTGGAAATACACAGCAAATGGAAGGGTTCTAAGTGTTCCAATATTCCTTTTTGGTTTGGTTGGTTTTGAAGCCGTGGTCTCCTGTGTAGCTCAGGCTGGCCTTGAACTTGCGTATAGTAGAGGGCGTCACTGAACTTCTGATTCTCTTGTGTCATCTCCCAGGTGCTGGGATCACAGGCATGCACCACTGCACCTGGTTTATGTAGTGCTGAAAATGGAACCCATGGCTTCATTCATGCTAGGCAAGCACTCTGTCAACTAAGGCGTAGGCACAGCTCCCAATCTTCCTAACCAACCAACCAAGTACCATGCTAGGTAATACTTCAGCTAGAGGCATGACAACGGCCATGTAGAGAGACTGCACCCGAGCACGGGCCTGCGTCAAGCCACTGTCCTCTTCTAGATAGCCACGTTTCCACTTAAACCCAGCATGCACCTGGGCAGGCTGCCAAAAAAGATTAAAGTCCTTGAAGGACACACGGCAGGTGCATAGTTTAGGGTGCTTCCAAGCGGGGCAGTTATTTCTAGTTAGTGGCCACAGCCCCTGAGGATGACTTAATTAATCAAAATGGGAGAGGAAAAACGCTCTGTGATTGAGTAGGCTTTATTTAGTGGGCGTGTACTCAAGGGCGTGACTTGGGTGGTGATCCCAGCGCTGGGTCGGGGAGGGAGGGGGGAGAATTCGAGGGTTTAAAATGGTGATCAGGAACCGGCAAGGTTGCCCAGACTTTGGGAGACAGAGGCCTGAGCTACATAGTTGTGAGGTCGGGACCAGCTTGGGATCCATGAGCCCACGTCCAAAGGGGGTGGGGGGAGGCGGAAGGGGGTGGCGGCGGCGAGATGGCCCAGTGGGTAAAGGACAGTGTGCCTGCCGCTGAACCTGACAGCCTATCTATCCCAGGACCCGTCCGATGGAAAGCTATGGAAAGCAGAAACCCACTCTCGAAAGTTATTCTCTGACTTCCAAATGCGTGCACGCTCTTATAAACACACACACACAAATAAAGGTAACCAATATTTTTTTTTAAAAACAAACATTTTAAAATGATCAGGATCTTATTGGGTGTTCAGCCGTGGCAGGGTGTCAGAACTGCTCTGGAAGCCCAAGATCCTACGAGAGAGGCGGGGCCGAACGAGGACAACACCCCACCACCCGCCGCCGCGCGAGGCGTCTTTAAGACGCCCTCCCCCAAACCCCGCCCATATCCCCGCCCCACCCCGCCCACGTGACCCCGGTCTTGTGACCGGCAGGAGGGCGGGGAACCCTTGGCGCGCCCGCCCCGCCCGGCGCGCGCCTCACTGGGCCGAGCTGCT